CGAAACTATTTGATTCAAAGCCTTAGGTTTTAAAGGTAGTAAGTTTTCCTCAGTGTTTTTTAAATTATGTTTCACAAAGATCTCAGGACACCAACCTGCGGCCAACTGGCTCTAACGTGTGCATCAAAGGAGTGGGAATGCACACCCACACGGCGGGTAGGAATACCGGCTAGCACTCCACCGGGCATCTTTACGCGGAGAAACAGGAACCCAGGTAGCGTAAAAACTTCCACAGAGGCAGAAGAGAATCGTTACAAAAAATGAAAGCCACATTTGCCATTAGAGGTAAACAACAGCCCAAGCAGCATGCACAGTCTGGAACTGTGGAACGGAAAGAGCAGCTTAAAATAAGAGGGACCTAATGCTCCTCCCACCCCAGAAAGAAAGGACCCACATCGAGACTTTGCCAGGGGAAAAACAAATGGTTTCAGACATTTTTTCCTATATTGTACTTTCCAGGAATTATGTAACTATTCCTCTTTAGATAAACAATTTATCCCGGGGACAGGTTGGGTTTTCAGGAGGAATCCAGTACTGAATCTGCAGCCTAGGCCTGGGCAGGTCTGTCTGCGGCAGTCGGAGGGGCAGGTGGAGCCCGGGCCCGCTCCTCCCACGATGGCCCCACTGAGCCTCAGAAGGACATCCTGCTTCACGACTTTGAATGCAGACTGCAGAGCTCGGTGGTAAAACCTCATGGACTGTCCTGGGAACGGAGAGCAGTGAGAGTCAGCACCTCCGGTCATCCCCCACTCGTCAGGGTCGTTTAGGGGCACTCGGAGAAACGCAGTCCGACTGGGTTGGAGAGAGGGGGATCATCACAAGGCTGAAGAGACAGAGCGCAGCAGCTCCCTGGCAGGAAGGCCGTGTGGGAGAGAGGGGCCTCTGGGGGTTAATGGGAAGCACCTGCCAGGAAGAGGCAGCCGAGATGAGGGGATCAGAACAAGGAGGGATGCATCCGTCCGGACTCTGTGAAGGACAAGGGGCCCAGAGGCTGCTGCGGGCTAACAAAGGACATCAGATGCCCCAGACAGCAGTGCCTCACAAAAAACGGTGGAGACGTTTGTTTAGTTCGCATAGTGCCAGTGCCAATATACTTACAACCGGCACAGGAAATACAAGTGGTAGGAGAGAGGTGAGAAAGTAACGACCTGAACAGTAGACAAAGGAAGTCAGAAGAGGGCAGTGTCAAGAGCGGAGGGCTTAGAGCCAGACCATCTGGGTCCAGTCCTGAGTCTGCCACTTCGCAGCTGACGTGACCCTAGGCAACCTCTCAGGGCCTGGGCTATTGTGAGCATCCAGTGAGATAATGCATTCAAATGCCTAGCCAAGTACGAGACACAAACACACAGCAGCTCCCAGGATCGTTCCCCTCCGAGAAAGGAGGCCTCCTCCACCATCCTGGAGCGCCACCACGAGCTGAACCGGCGCTGGGCCCAGGCTCCCCTCACTCTCGTATCGTAAATCCCATGTCTCACAGCCTCACACCGAGTGGGAATGCACACCAACATGCCCTTCCTCTGCATGCCCGAGGTAGGGATGCGCCAGCCACCAAGCGGAAAATGCTGCCGTTTATGGCAAGCTGACGAAGAGAACAAAGAAAGCACAGAACGACATTCAATTCAATTACATGGCATAAGACTAAACGAGTGTGTAAGAAGTAAGTACATCCCCTACAAAAAGGCAAGTCTCTTAAGATTGAGTGCAGCTGAATTCTGTTTGCAAGGACCATGCCTAAAACAAGGAAATGACACTACTAAAATCTAAAATGCAGTCAAAGCTTTATAAAATAAATGCAAATGAAAAATAAAATGTGTCACACAATTCATATCAAGGAAGTCCAAGCAAGTCACAAACTGGAATCAAGTTTTTTTGCTTTTGTTTTTGGAGACAGGGTCTTACTTATGTAGTTCAGGCTGGCCTCAAACTCATGGCAGTCCTCCTGCCTCGGCCTCTTGAATGCTAAGATTATAGGCATGTGCCACCATGCCTGGCTTTTGGAACCAAGTTTTTTTGTATGGGACACTTCACAATAAATCTACAGCTATTATAAATTCCTACATACCAAATACACAAGGCAGAAACTACTAAAGATACAAAGGGACGCTAACATCTAGTTCTGTTCTTGATAGACCAAATTGTCAAACATTAATAATTTGAATACCATAATACAAATTTAAGAATAATTTGAGAGATTATACCTTCTTTTCTGTGGCCCATGAAACATTTATAAAAATTGATTATATATTAAGCTACAAGAAAAAACCTCAAATTTATTTTAGAGCTAGAAAGTATATATATGGTCACATATTCTAAACCCACGTAAAAACATTATGACTTTTTAAAAAGCCATTCATAGCAGTGTTTTTTATAATAGCCGAATAGTGAAAACAACTCAAATGTCCGTCAAATAAATGGGTAAATAAAATGCACTGTTATCTCTACACAATGGGTTACCATTTGGCAATAAGAATTAAGTACTGCTCCTACGCTACTATGGATGGATTTTGAAAACATGGTGCTAAAAGAAGGAAGCCAGCCATGAAAGACAGCAGGCATGATTCGATTTATACGAAATTTCTAGAACAGGCAATCTCTGAAGGCAAAAAGTAGATTAGTGGTCGCTAGGAGCCGAGGATGGGGAGGGTGGCCAGAGGGAAATGGGAGTGACCATTAGTGGGTGAAGGGATTTCCTTTTAAAGTGATAAAAAAATACTTTAGAATTGACTGTGATAATAGCTACATCTTTTGTGAATATACTAAAAAAAAAAAAAACCCAAACAATACATTTAAATGGATTATAGGGTAGTTATTTCAATGAAGCTGTTAGAAAAATATCCAAAGATCTTGAAAATTAAAAACCACTAATATTTGAATAAAAGAAAAATTGAAGCTTTACTACTGAATATTTTAAAAATCACTGAGAATGTTATACATCATATTACATAAGATGCCAAAAAGCAGAAATTGGAGGATATTTTAATGACTTAACTGTTTCCACAGTAAAAAATTATATAGAATTCTTATAAAGATGCATCTGTTTTATGTGTCACTAAGAAACAATGCGCAGGTGAAGCAATGTTACAATGCTTTGTCATCAATTTAGAGACAGGTTCTCTCTTTTTTTTTGCTCAGTACCGGGGATCGAACTCAGGACCTTATGCTTGCAAGGCAGGGACGGTGCCACTGAGCTAGATCCCTGGCTGTTTTATCATCAATTTAAAGATACCCTAGGGCCGGGGAAGTAGCTCAGTGGTTCCACCGTCTGCCTTGCAAGTCCATCTGCCTTGCAAGTGAAAGGAGCCGAGTTCGAGGACCCAAATTCAATCCCCAGTACCACAAAAAATAAAATAAAATAAAGATAACCTAAATGTGTAGACTGATAAAATACAATATTAAAATCAGAAAATAGTGTGCCTGATGAATAAGTTTAAAATCTAATTTTTTGGAAAGACTAACAGATAAACCTCTAGCAAGGCAAATTTTAAAAAGAAAATAAAAAATAAAAAATAAACTATTAGGACCACAAAAGCAAATGCAACCATATATACATAGAGGGTCAAATTTATAAGATGATTCTGTGTAATACACTATGGTTAAAAAATGAAATGGAAGATGAGTATGGTGACACCCAACTATAACCCCAGAACCCTGGGAGGCAGAGGCAGGAGGGCTGCAGGTTTGAGCCCAGTCTGAGCAACGTAGTGACTAAGTGAGACCTTGACTCAAAATCTTAAAAAAAAATTTTTTTTTTAAAGGGTTGGGGAGATAGCTCAGTATGAAGGCCCTGGGCTGAATGCCCGCTAGTGCATGTGTACACACACACACACACACACACACACACACACACACACTCTTTATGGTGATAATTTTGAAAACTTGGATCCAATAGACAATTTCCTACTAAAAACTAAATTTTCCAAACTGGCTTTGAAAGAATTAGAAAATCTAAATAAAAAATGCTCATGGAAGATATTTCAAAAGCTGCCGAAGATATATCTCCAAAAAACTGTTCTGGATCCCTGAAAATACCAGGCAGAACTTCTATAAAACCTTAGTTTACATTATCTTTAAAACCTCAGTTTACATACACTTTTTCCTAAAACTAGCATAACGCCAAAGCCCAAAACACAGGCAGCACTTTTCACCCATCAAGTTGGCCATGATTTAAAGATTTAAAAAGGAGAGAAAGAAAAAAGAAAAGACAGAAAAATGTACAGTAGGAGATAATTTCGTCACTTTCTAATGAATGTGTAGGTTAACCTCTCCGGAGAGCATTTTGAAAAGATACATTAAAAGGCATATATTTTGTGTAAGTTTTGACTCAGTGATCACACATGTAGGAATTTATTGCAAAGTAATATTCATAACCATATATAGAAGTTTTTGCAATAAAGATGTTCACTGTAAAACATACCAACAACTTAAATAGTATAGAAACGTGGATAACAACACTAGCTTTTCAAGATGGAATAAACATATTTTATATATGTCTAAATGAATAAGATGTAAGTAAAGTATCTTTAAGTAGGATAATGAATAATATTAACTTTCTTCTCCTAATTCCATGCAGGGAACGCTTACATCATTTTCCACAGAAAAATTAGTAATTATTACTCTAATTCTGTTTGTACTAATCTTAGGAACTGCACGAACAGTGCCCAGAGAATCAGAACAGAGGGTTTGTGCTGGGATCCCCAGTTCAGGAGGATGTGGATGAACCACTGTAAGGGCGGTCTGTCTTGGCCGCAGCCTGGAAGCCTGGAGTTCACACAGCACATATCTAAGAGGCAGAACACTGCTCTTTTCTCCCCCGCATCGAGGTTCTCATCCCTGGGAAACATCAACAAGCCAGTTCCAACCCAAGGAGCCTAGCAACTGCCTCTTTATCTTTGACCCTTGCTGCTTCCTGGAAAATTCTCAATTAGAAACTATAAAAATACCCCATTTGGCACTGAACATGTTTTATTAAAAAAAAAGAAAAAGGAAATTGAGACTCCTACCTAGATAGGGAATACTGGGCACCATCTTCAGGCTTCGAATATATTCCCGCGTCCGCTTGTAATTATCTTCTTTGGACATCAGGTAGTCCAATTTCTCAAAGGTGGTCTTGTCTTTTCGATTCAACAGCTGGAATGAGAAGAAATTACAGAACATGAGAGAGAAAAGAAATAAACGAGATAAAGTTAGATGCAGAGAATAGCTGTGGACGAAGAACAAAGACAACATTCTAAATGGCTCTTCTATGGTGTAGACTCAACAAGAGATTTTTAAATGCTGTTTCATTTAGAGATGGATAACTTAGTCTTGTTTTCAGAGAATCTCACAATTGGAGGGTCCTCCTGAAGCTACCTACCTCACAGTACGACATGATGCCAAATCCCCTAGCAAAAAAAAAAAAAAAAAAAAAATTTAAAAAAAAAAAAAAAAAAAAAAAAAAAGCACTGCTCTCCGTGCTATACAGACCCTAGAGCAGCAAGGAGCTGTAAGAGAAACTCTTCCTAAGTTCGCAGTTACCTTCTCTCCCCTCAACATCTCCATGGCAGATGGCTCTGGGAGCCTGCAAACAACTCATAACTCATATGCCACACAGCATTCCAGGAGAGCCAGGATGGCTACCCAAGAATCCTCAAGATTTCCTGGCATTCTCCCATGTTATATTTACAGGGTGCCTTCTTGGAAGGATAAGTAGACATCTGAATTCCTGTTGTTCCAGATTAAGGTCTCAGGAGGTAGTCACCTTGCATGTCCCAAGTCAAGGCCCAGTGCAATAAGACTCCTTAAATACAATGACTTTGAGGAAAGGGGTCTAGATTGGGAGGCCTGGCTTGAAAAGAATGGTTGGGAAAGCTTGAAAGGAAATGTTTCCTCGGGAGAGCTGGCTTTGGCATAACATGCGGTTAATGCTGGGAGTTCACTCAAGTCCAACAGCCAGGGTCTAGAGCTTCTGGAATTGAAGTCAATGGCTAAGTCTGAGAGTATAAGTAAAGCAGGCCTTCTGGCCTAGAGCATCCATGGCCCAAGCTTGGTCTTGAGACCCCAGTGGCTCCTGCAAAGACCTGGACCAACAGACCTGCCAGTGTTCACCAGCCCCACCATACAGCAGAGCGTAGGGGAACGCTGACTGCCAGCACCAGGGGAGCAGAGCCATGCCCAGGACTTGAGTCTGTGAATCCCGGGCCATATCTGCTACATCAGAAAGCCCAAGCTATGTTGGGTAGGCCCTGCCCTGTTCCTCCCTTGAAGATGCAGCCATGAGATGGGCCACTGAACATGACAGCCCAGACTTCAGGGAGGACAGACAAGAGATAAGCTGAAAGAAAGAAGTTGGAAAATAAAGAACAAGCTGTTTTCTTCTCCCACTGAGAAATTCAGGAAACAGCAGTGTGGGGATGCTCACACAGATGCTAGGAATAACGGCTGCTTAACTGGCTTGCTAACTTGAGGTTGTTATTCATTAGAGTGACAAATGGACAGGAAGTAACACCATCTTCCATTGCTGCTTGTAAAGCACCGTAATGTTCAACTCGTCTGGTATTTACAAAGCCCAGAGATGAAAAGGGAGCAAGATTATTGCTTCTATTCCAAGTTCATAACCACAAGGATTAAGTGACTTGTCTGAATGTTCCTGGGAGACTTGATTTAATAGAGAAGCAAGATATCTTTTAGCAATATGGTAAGTAAGTAAATAAAGACTGAAGACCAAGACAAGTAATAAAGGAATGTGGGTAAGGGAAGTGAGGGAAGCTACAGAGTGAAATGACATTTGAAATGAGCTCTTAGATTAAGGATGAGACATTTTCCAAATGAACAATATACACCCAGAACAAACCCATATCCCTAGCGTGAACAGCCCTTGCAAAGTTAAGCAGGCCCCTGACCTCCCTTGTTCAGGTATTTTTTTTTTTAACTAATGCAATCTAGAATCCCACCAACTTCTTTGACAATCAGCCATATTCATGCAGCAGCCAAACAAACCCCAGTGTCAGCCTCACACACACTGGCTGAGCCATGCTGGCTTCCAATGTCCACATCACTGGTTTTCTGGTCCCCACTGGGTGACTGTCCACGTCCCCTGCCATGTTCAGCCTACCTACCAGCCTGTGTAGCACTTGTGTGGACTGTACCTCTGCAGTACCTGTGTGGACTACACCTCAGCCTGTCATCTGAATTCCACCCCCCGCCCTGAGCACACACACGAAGGGCTGGATCTGGCGCACCTGGAATTGCTTATCTGCTTCATTCTGTGCCTATACGATCAGATTCAGGACAGCAACAGATTGCTGAAGAATGCAAGAATCCATGAAAAAACTCAGAGCATATATTCCCTATGATATAGGTGCAAACTGCCTGAGAACCGCCCCCCCATGCAGGAATAAACCAGGAAAAGGAAGACATGGGACACAGGAGATGATGACCCAACCCAGGAGTGGTAAAGAAGATCCTGAAATGTCCGGCGAGCAGGACGCCCTAAGAACAACTGCTCCATAATGGGTGCGTCCAAGGACGTCTCTAGAGAAAAAGAAGGCTCTGCAGAACCAATACGACAGTACAGGTGGGGGTGTGGAGATAGATATATAACAAAACCTTTAAGGCTGTAGGTGTGTGTGTGGTAAATAGATAATCAATAAGTAAGGTTTTTTTTTTAAAAAAGGAATTAGAAAATCAAGGAAAATGAAATAACTAAAGTGAATGTTAATGAAGAACAAATGAAAATGATTGTGGAAATTAAAACCAATGTCAACCATATGACGAAGTCATCCATCATACACCGTCCAAGGCAGATGGACCAAGAAATTTAGCAGAAGCTCATAAGTGGGCATGTGTCAGAAACTACCAGAAGAAACCACTACATAACAGGAAGTGGCTGCCTCTGGGGAATGAAGAGGGTGTGGACAGAGAGCAGGGAGTATCAGTTGTTTCACTAAGCCTTCTAGTACGCAGTGATTTTTTAAAATTAATGTACATGTCTTATACTGATAAAAATCCTTTTAAAATTTAGGATCTTTTTTAAATATAGGGTCTGTTTATTCAGAAAACAATAGCATTTATTTAACACACATTTTAAACTTTTATTACAAGTGGAACCACAAACTACAAACTTCAGATGAACTAAGAGTCCTTTAGATTTTAGAGTTTATGGGAAGCCTTGGGACAAAACCATCAGAACTACATACAAGAAAATAAGTCACAGTACTTACTTACTGGGAGTCAGATCCTCAACCGTGCCAGTTCAGGAAAGAGGTGGTAAGACTGAGAAAAATTCACTAAATGTAACAGGCAACTCCCCTTCTATAAAGTTTAGAAATCTTGGGCCAGGGATTTAGCTCAGTGGTTCCACCGCCTGCCTCACAAGTGCAAAGACCCAGGTTCGATCCCCGGTACAAAAAAAAAAAGTTTAGAAATCTTGGGGTACTCTGAAGTCTCCACCCATGATATTTGTTACAATTTAATTGACTGTGTGATTACATTTGCATCTCACTCAGCAAACAACAAACAGCAAGCAACAAGTCCCGTAAGGACCGGCAGTGCTGGTGTCCTGCTCCTCTGTCCCATGTCCAGCACAGACCAAACGCTGCCACACTGCTACACAGAAGAGCGAAGAAGAAGATAATAATGATAACCCAGATATCTAAATTCCTTGGAAATTCCTAAATAATGCAATAATGCTTAGGTAAAAGAGCTAATATAAGACAAGATTAAAAACCTCACAAACCAGTCTGGGGATTTAGCTCAGTGGTTCCAGAGCCTGCCTCGCAAGTGTAAGGACCCGAGTTCGATCCCTAGTACCACCAAAAAAAAAAATTTTTTTTACAAACCACAAACAATAAGAGCACTGTATGTTAAATTATGTGATCTAGCCAAAGCTGTACTGAGAGAAAATTTCATGATTTTAAACTCATTTATAATCAAACAATTAATAAGCAATACAAACAAACTAAGCATTCAAACTAAGAGGCCATGAAAATAGATTAACAGATAAAATTGGAAATTGATATGTTAAAAAACAAAGTAAAGCTAAACATCAAGTTACCCAAGAACTTATTTTATAAAATATAAATAAAACAGGAAAAAAACTCCCCAAAAACATGGAAAGCAAAATATATAACATTAAAATTCAGAAAAGGATTATAGCCACATAGAAAAAGTGAACTAAACTTGCAAGGTAAGAACGGAGCCCCTGCATATTGATTTTAAATCATTTTCACAGTGCCAAGTACATATTCCAAGGGATAAATGGGACTCATAAACCATGAGGTCAAAAGCCAGGAAGATCACAAGCCTTGGTGAAATAGCAAAAGAAGTTGGCTGCTTTTAGAAATTTCCCTTATACTCTGAGTGTCTTCTATGTGGCATTTGTCATTTGCCTATTCACAAAACAATCCTCAACAACATCCCTTTCTGGTAAAATAGTTCAAATTTGGAAATTATCTCCAAGGAGTGGGGAAGAAAAATTCCTCTAAATTTTTAAGAGGATATTGATATCTTGCTCCTTTGCCGTGAGAGAATAACATTCCTTGATACATGGAAGTATTTTTCAACAAAGAGCCTGTAGCTCCAAATAGGTTAACACTGGCTCAAAATTATATTTTGATTCCAGTGTCTACTCTTGGTATGGAAAGAATTTTTAGTACTGCTGATAATCTATGGACCAATGGATTCAGCAGGCTAAGTATGGAATTCATAGGGAATGAAACAGGAGCATTTTTATAAGTACTTTTTTACCTTTTTGGATACATAATATCATTTTCTGAAAAGGGAAGGGGGTGAAAAAGAAATTAAGATGTGTTATGTACATGGACCAATTCCCACAAGAAATGCAAAAATTAAACATTCTGTTTTATACAATGTACTAATAAACTTAAATTTAAAAAATAAACCCTGCACAGAAAGAAATTAACTTGCAGAAAATGTAGTAATGTAAATAATTCTTGACTGCAGAAAGAATTTTGTCTTATGGCATGCCACTGATTATCACAGAGGGAATAGCGACTAATTGTGCATTCATTTAAAAATGATTAAGCGGAACACTGCTCCAGTGCTGGTGGGAGTGCAGACTGGTGCAACCAGTGTGGAAATCAGTATGGAGACGCCTCAAACAACTGGGATCAGAAGACCCCCTGACCCAG